GTGTATTAGTGTAAGTAGAGAGTACTTTGAAGGGGATTGAAGGTTTGTGCTTAAAATTTGAATAAATAAGTTTAAAAAAAAATAAGTTCGGTTTCTTTTGGGTACCCCCTCATGTATATATATATATATGAGAGAAATATATAGATTTAATATTCAGATATTTAATACTGCAGTTATTAATATATTTTGATATTTATGTGCAGTTTTTGAAGGCAGTTTTCAGAATTTCTATATATTATTTTTTGTATTCAGCAGATTTTCCCCCCCAGTTTTTTATATTACAGGAAGAGTTTTTTCCTTCCAGGAGTGTGACTTACATATTGATGTCAGAGATTTAAGTTACAGAGGTGTGATGCTTATGAGGAGTACTGTGTTTGGCAGTGCACAAGACATGTATATTACAGGATACTTTATTTTGATTTTTGAATATTTAACATTTTGTACTTTTCTAAATGGTTCTAGGTGAAGCAGCAAAGAAAAAATAGTACATCCTTTTTCAAGCAGTTCATATTTCTTTCTGTCCTTTGGTGAAAATACAAGTCCTTTGATATTTATATTCCTGAATTTTATGTTGCTATTGCATGGGGATTGTGTTTTTAGTTTACTTTACTATTTATCTTAAAACCTTGTAATAAACTTTAATAGTGGCCATTCAGAAACTGAGCAATACATGGAGTGTCCTTTTCTGTATGGTGAAAGAATCTTTCCTAACACTGTGTTCCTGTGTTTGATTTGTTTGGTAGTTAGTACAGACAATCAAAATGGTAATTTGGAGGTCATATGCATAAGCATTGTCAAAGAAAATGAATAACTAAATACTGGCATTAAAGATGGCCAAGAGGAAATACCTGTGACATGAAAGGAAAGAAAATTCTTGCATAGGACTTGCCTACACATGTATATATGAGCATATGGGAAGTAGATATACAATATATAAATTTGTGGAATGTTCAACATTTTGGAGTAAGCATGCATCTTCCAAAATAAGTAATCATGTTGCGGTAATATTATTCAGCCCCCAGAAGGGACTGAGAATATTAAATAGAATATTGGTATGGAATTAAGTAATTTGACATCATGCAAATTATGAATGATTGCTGTGAACATTATATGGAAATAGCACATCAGTATTCTTCATTCGTATTTTCCTACATATTGGATAATATATAAATTGTGGATCATATAAATGCATTTGTACTTGATCTTTAGGGGAAGATATGTAGGATTTGAGATTCTCACAGCGAT